AGGGCACAGACTAATAGATCCTGCCTCCATTAGGAATCAGGGTCTGGGGACAGTGAGAGAAAGAAGACGAAACCTCTGAGGACCCAAATGACCTGGGCATCGGAGACAGCCTAGCTTCCCCCACGGGTGTTGGGGGTGGTGGGTCGGGATGGGAATTACCTTAGTCCATTTCGTGTTGCTGTAACAGAATATCTGAGACTGGGTAAATCATAAAGAACAGAAGCGTGTGTAGCTTACGATTCTGTAGGCTAGGAACGTCAAGACTGGGCAGCACATCTGGCAGCTTCTGGGGAGAGCCTTGTGCTGCACCAAAGCACAGCAGAGAAATGGAAGGGGAACTCAGTGCATATGTAAAGGGCAAAATAGAAGAGGCAACCTTGCTTCATAACAACCTGCTCTCGTGGGAACTCATCTGTTCCCATGAGAACTAACCCAGCTTCCAGAGAGAGATATTACTCCATCTAAAGGACTTAATCACAGCTCAAACGCACCACCTGCCAGTACCACCACATTGAGGACCAAGTCTTAACAGAAGTTTTGGTGGAGCGAACCACTTCTAACCACAGCAGGGGTCAAGGGGCCGGCAGTTAGACTGCACAGTGAGGGTGCTTAGCATTTCCAATGCTGGGTATAAGGACTTACACTGCCTTCTTTTCTTGAATCTAAGAACCCAATATTTGTAAAGAGCCACTGTGATTTTATGACAGATTTGGGGAGAGAGCACACTATGCCACTGCTATAGCTGGAATATCTGTCCCCTCCAAAACCCAGGTTGAAATTTAAGCCCCAATGGGGCAGTACTGAGAGATCACTGGCTCACGAGGGCTCTGCCCTCATAAATGGATCCATTGATTATAATGGATTAAGAGATGATCGTGGGAGTGGGACTGGTGGCTTTACAAGAAGAGAAAGAGAAACCTGAGCTAGCATGTGAGCACACTCAGCCCCCTCAGCATGTGAGGCCCTGTGCCACCTTGGGACTCTGCAGAATCCCCACCAGTAGGAAGGTGCTCATCAGATATGGCCCCTTGACCTTGGACTTCTCAGCCTCCATAACTGTAAAAAACAGATTCATTTTCTTTATAAATTATCCATTTTCAGGTATTCTGAGGAACAGAGAACAGACTAATACAGCTATTAAATATAAATAGGTAACTAACAAGGGCATCCCACTTTCAGAATGAACAAAACATTAAAAAAAAGAAAGTTGCATCTTAGAAAGGTTTAGGAAGGACAAGAATCATGCTTCCAGGAGAATGAGGACACCTATAGATAATTCTGAAGGACAACAATCATGCTTCCAGGAGAATGGGGACACCTATAGATAATTCTGTGCTAATTTGGAGCAATGGCCAAGAAGTTACGCTGAAGGTCAAAATCTACAAGCACTGAGAAGAGAAACAATGACCTTTGGGTCCTTAGGTACCACAGCTCCACTAAGGTAGCCTAAAATTGAAGGAGATTTATGGGAAAACCCATCAGACTGTTGATCTATATTAAGTTTATTATGTCTAAACACCTGAACTGCAACCAAATCTGTACTCTTCTATACCTGTGGTATTGATTTTAAGATTAATTTACAATAAATTCTACTTCAGTTTTGATGTCGTAGCTTGTCAAGACGTTCTGAATCTTGAATGAGCACCTCTGGTATCTGTTATCTCCGACAGCTGCATGGCACCTGCAAATCTGATACGCATACTTCTAATTCTTTCACCACAAGGAATTCATTGTCTATGCTATGATACAGTTCTGATAAAATACTTGCAGGTGTTAATAAGTCACTGATTATCCTCTATCTGACACCTCTCTGGAATATATTTCATAATGTTAAAAAAATCCTTTCCTGAAATGCAGCAGGCTAAGAAATTAGGCATAAACAGGCAACCCTGTTGTTTTTTCCCTGTGAGATTAAATGTCATTTATTTACAAAGACTTGGATTTTAGAGAATTAACTTCTTATCCTTACGGCTAAGACAGCCCTCAAAATTAAAAAATAAATAAATAAATAAATAACCTCCTTGGTGCCTTCATGAGCGACAAGAAGAGGCAAGCCCTTGAGAAGCTCAAAGCATTTACATGTCTCTTGCCTTTGGGCACGCTTTCCATTCTCCATGAGAATCACAAAATTGTAGATTCTTTAGAGACTACATCTGTAAGTCCCTTAAGGGCACTGGATCCTGTCTTCTGTATTTGAAACTTAAATTAATTCAAAGCAGCTTAGTGCTTTCTTCCTATCTCATCTTTCTTGGATTAGATTTTGGGTTTCCTCTTGTTTTCTTGCATCTAGTTCAACAATGCATCTTGTTACAGAAGAATTTAGTAAGAAGACAGGCACTGGGAAGCTCTCTCCTTTTGGACCTTACATCACACTTGGAGCAGTGACTCCAGCCCTTCTTTGCTTCTGGTTGTTCTATAAGTAGATGGCAATTAAAAAAAAAATTGACATTTGTATTTGTGGTAAATTTCCACTCCAGATTTTTCAAAAAAATGACTAGTGGGCAAGGCTCCCGGTCCTCCCGTGCAGTCACTCCTGCACGTGTCCTCCCACGCCCTGTGTTCGCGCCCCCGACCCTCCCTCCCCGGCCCTGCACCACGCACTCACTGTGGCAGCGGCGACCTCCGAAACCTCCGACTCCTCCGAAACCCTCCCGCGGCACTGGGGCTCCCCGGTCTCCCCCACCAAGTGGCGCCTCCCTCGGCCTGACCCTGCGGAACCCTCGGAAGCGGATACCGCCTTCTCCGTCCCCTGCCTCCCACCCTGACCGCTCACCAGCTGTGTACTCGTCTGCGGGGTGCTGGGGCGCCAGGGCTGAGGCCACCCCGCAGGAGCGGCTGGAGAGAGGCCGCGCGCCCGGCATGAGGGGCGAGGGCCGAGGCCCCCGGAGCCGGAGCCGGAACCGCCTCTCCAGGAAGCCGCTCAGGCTCTACCCTCACCCCTGCAATCCGCTTCCTCCCTGACGCCAGGGTGATTCTCTGGGAGTAAAAATGTGATTCCCACCTGCAAGCCTTTACTGGCTTCGCCTCCATTAGGATCCGAACTCCCAGCTGCGCTCCGCAGCCCCAGCAGCAGCAGACCCAACTCACACGCCCGCCCTTCCCTGACTCCTCCTCGGCCCTCAGCTCCCGGCTCCTGGCCAGGCCTCCCCAGCAGTCTGGAGGTTGCTTTGCCTTCGGGCGGCAACACCCTGGCCAGGCTCCGTCTCAGTCCCCTCGGAACTAAAGACCACGGGCAATGGGATGTTGCCTGACTTATTCTTGGTTGTTTCTCGGATGCTGAGAATGGAGACTGGTCAATATTCAGACTCAGGGTTTTCTGACTGAAGGGCCTCTCTGTCCTCAGTAAGTGTTTTTTAGTGGAACAGATGAGTGCTGCTGAGAGCTGACTGGTGACTGCCGCTTTCTCTATTTTTCCCAGACCGCCTTCCTCCTGCACTCCTCTCCCCAGCCTCCCCAGCTCCCCCAGCTCCCCCAGGCAGAGCCCTCCTGGCCCTGCCTGTGCGCGGGGCTCTGCTCTAAGGCACCTCAGGCAGGGAGCAGTCACCGAACCGCTCCCAGTTTGGGGAGCAGCCCCCAAAGCACATGGCCATAGAGGGATTCTGCTATCACTTGGCAGGGGATGCCCGTCTGTGTTATTGGCCAAGTCTTCGTAATTCCCAGAACAATTCTTTGTAGATTAACGGATGGGTAGTTAATTGGATCACAAATTTGACGCCTTAATAACTGAAATATATGATGCTGAAGAGTCACTCAGATTACTTATCCAGAATATGATTCATTATTCTTTTCTGGTTTTAACAGTCTCACTCTGTTGCCCAGACTGAGACTCTGTTGCCCAGTGGCGCAATTTCGGCTCACTGCAACCTTTGCCTCCCAGGTTCAAGTGATTCTCCTGCCTGAGTAGCTGTGACTATAGGCATGTGCCACCACACCTGGCTAACTTTCGCATTTTTAGTAGAGACAGGGTTTCACAATGTTGACCAGGCTGGTCTCCAACTACCAAGCTCAAGTGATCCACCTGCCTCAGCCTCCCAAAGTGCTGGGATTACAGGCATGAGCCACTGTGCCTGGCCAGAAGATCACTGATTGTTCTACAGATAAAGTCCAAAAAAAAAAGAAATGACCAAATAATATTACACATCTGGAGACATAATCAGAAGAAGAGTCACAAATAAAGGTGGTTAAGGTCCTTCTGTTTCTATTCATCCCCTCATTTAATTTCTTTTAGTGTTTCGGTGTGTGTGCGAAACAAGATTCTAGGTGCTAAGGATTCACAGATGAATACAATTTACATTTGTACCGGGGGTACATACAGTCCGAGGGGGAAAAATATCACCTCATATAATACGGTTCTAGTATAATCAGAATTCCAAGGGAAGGGAAAGAATGCACCTTCCAATGTACACGTGGACAGTAAACAGCACAATGTACAACTTACAGCTAACTTAGTGTAAGGTACCTCACACTTTAATTTAAAAATCTTTAATATTAGAATGCATCATTGAAATTTAAGCCTTAAAATTAAGGACTTTTCAGACTAAGCATCACAGAGATGCTAAGCATACTGGCAAAACATGGCATGCCGTTTAGTTTAATGAGACAACATAAAAATTCAGACCAAGAAAATAAATATTCAGAAGCAAAGGCTTTTTAGAAGTGAGACACGTTGGAATGCCTAATCTACTACAGAGCTTGTTTCTTCATCTGGAAAATGCGGATAAAGTGTTTTCCTTGTGGGGTGGTTATGGGGACTAAATGGTAGATTACCAGGCATATAATAAAGGGTAGCTATTTTTCAACACATGACTACATGCTAAGACTATGATTTAATAGGCTGGCAAAAGAAAAGATAGGGAATCAGGAAAAAAAGAAGCAATAAAAGGTTTGTTACTAACAGAGGGTGAGTTCTGAAAAAGCAAGAAGAGTTCAACTTATCCAGGATGTCATAAACGCCAACTATCACAACCCAAAGGACAATATGACAAGATTACTGTACCTACCTGTCCAGTCTGATAATGTCTGGCAAATTGGTTAACTACTCGATAATCATTTGCAAAGTACTCCATCAGAATAGAAGGAACCTCAGCAAAATCAGTAGGGCACCTGGTCCCTAAAACAAGAAAAAAAAAAAAAAGTTGGCATGAATCAAATCGATATATTTATCTTACTTTTTATGTACCCTTTAAAACTTTTATTTGTACTTCTGATGAACTATAAATTTTAATTCATTAAATCAATATTTTTCTTCTATAAATTTACTGTACATATTTGCAGAAAAGTTTATTATAATCCTATATATTTTCCTTTATATCAAAATTAAAACAAAATATTTGCACAGCTGCCAAAACACCTTATAAAGCAATGGCTCACACCTTTTACAAACAAACCTGTCTTCAGCTATGCTGGCTATACATGAAACAAAGTAAAACATTTCTAATATTAATAGAGCGTTTGTATTTAATTCACTAAATTCCATTACCTAATACTTTTATCCTTCCTTTGTTTTACAAGTACTTTATTTTATTCATTTATCGCTTTTTGTAACAAAGTCAATTCTCAGTGAGGAAAAGAAATATTTTAAACTCAAAATTACTTAAAGTAACAAATCCTGTAAGAAATTTAGATGACATTTAATGATTCTGTTCAGCCCACCTACAGTCTTTTCAATGCCTTTTCCTTGTCCAAAATACTGTGTGTAAAGTTAGTTAATAAATGCTGGATGCCAACGATTCACTAGTGGTCTAATGCTGACCATATGTGATAGGGAGCTTAAGACTTAAGGATAAGACAACGAAGAGGAAAGTCTGTAATATCATAAAATATGGCCACATATTTAGCAGCATAAAAACTACAAAGCAGACCTATGATTTTATACAGGGGAAAGATTAAAAGGACTTCATCATACTTTTTAAGCATGCTTTATTTAAATTAAAAGCTAAAAGGACTTCATCATACTTTTTAAGCATGCTTTATTTTGTTTTCTGATTTTGAATATAGAGACCATTCACTGACTTATTAACTCTGTGGAAGGTATTAAGGAGATACCTTTTTATTCACACACACATAGCCGCAAACTTAAATTCAATATAAAACACTGTAAAATGTAAAAAGGGACAAACTTGAAAGACAACTGAGATTATTCCCTGGTGAAAGCTGTTAGCAAGCATGGAAAAAAGCACTGGAAGATCAGGCTGCACAACTACGGGGAGGACAGGGTGAGGCAATCTGAGATAAAGACCACAGGACATGGTAAAATGATCACATTTTCCAAATGAAAAGCCCCTTTCCCAATTTAAAAGAAAGTGCATGTTTGTAAAGGATTGTAGTAAATAAAAGCCCTCCTCATGGCTCACCAGTGACGTGTTGGTAACGAGTACGTCCTAGCATTGAATGCATGGCATGTCCCATTTCATGGAAAAGATTTTCCATCATGCCAGGAGTCAGCAAAGTTGGAGAACTCCTTGAGGAACGGGGAAGATTCAGCATAAGAACTACAACTGGGAGTTGATAGTCTCCGTCTTCCTTTAGTCTGCCTCCACGTATAGTGAAATGGCAATCCTTTAAGAATCAGAAAACGTAAAAGGAAAAGAACGTATTTGGTAATGTGAAGAGTAAAACAGTCTTAATGAATATAAAATTTCACCAAAATGTGTGAGTGCAAACTTTAATTATATTCTTATTCTATCTATGTACATATATACACCTTTTCTTGACATTTTTTATTCTGCTAAAATTTTAATTTTTTAAAACATCAAGAAACACATTCAGTTTATATGGATGAATTCATTAATTTGGTCCCAAAATATGCATTGAAATGATGCTGTGCCAGATGCTGGAAACAAAGTCAGCAAAGAGCTGAGGAAGGGACACTAACATTTATTCTGAGTCCCTACTATGTGTCAGATAATGAACTAGTAAGTACTTTCCGTGTCTCTTGGCTATTTTTTTTTTTTTTTCATTTTTTAAGATAGGGTCTTGCTCTGTTGCCCAGGCTGGAGCGCAGTGTTGTGATCACAGTTCACTGCAGCCTGGACCTCCACGCCATCCTCCTGCTTCGGCCTACTGATTGGCTGGGACTACAGTGTGCTCCACCACACCCAACTAAGTTTTTAGATTTTTTTGTAGAGATGGGAGTCTTACTATGTTGCCAGGGCTGGTCTTGAACTCCTGGGCTGAAGTGATCTGCCAGCCTCAGGATTACAGGCCTGAGCCACCACACCCAGCCTCTCTTGACTTTTATCAGTTGAACGAGATGGGATCTAAACTAGTGTAAAGCAAGGGATCCGGATCCAGAGTAACTTACTCTGAAATAGGCACTACACTGAGACTCACATACACTGTATCACTTATTCTCCACAACAACCCTGTGTAGCAGGTATCTCACTTTTCAGATGATAAAACTAAAACTAGTCTTAGAATTATTAAATATGTCCAAGGACACCTAGCTAGAATTGCCGCACCTTGGATCTGAACCCAGGCTGACTATTAGGAGCCAGGGCTCCTAATCACTAAGTTGAGTCTCCACCACCCACCCATTTAAGCAAAGAGGAAGAACACTGGCCGCACAGTCTGGTGACCTGCACCCTGTTCCCACCTTTCACACCTACTAGCCAAATCATCTTGGAAAAGAATTTGCCTGTGCAAGCCTCATCTCTAAAATGCTTCCTTGTCAAATCCCACAGTGGCTGTCCAGAATCTATAAGCTCAAATCTGTTAAAATCCGTGCTTTGGAAATTGTGAATCACTATTCAAACATAAGATACATTATGTCTGTTATAACTTATAACCTAAACTCTTGACATTTCCCATCAAGCTACATGAAACTGCTAAAGCTGACTGGCTGTCAAAGTCAGCCAACGCTAAAGAAAAGGAGATGAGCTGCCTCAAGTCGTCCACATAAGGAGCTACTTGGTGGTTGGTAAGGTTTCCACACGGAATATCTTCTGCAGTTTTAGAATAGGTTCATTGTCAAGTATGGAAAAGAGTTAAAAGTTGGGGATCTGATCGGGAGGTATGTCTTCAAGTCCTAGCACTTCTGACCAAGTAGCTTAACCTCTCTGGCTTCATTTTCCTCATAACGTGAGTATCTAGTCAAAAGGTTGAGGTGAACATTAAAAGGCCGATGGGTATAATGGATTCAGTGCACTGGTTGGCACAAATAAGGATTCATAAAATGTCAGCTGTCGTTATTACTATAATTAATACCATGACCCAGATAAAAGTGACAAATACAGACTGATGTAATTATTTCCATAAACTTTTTCATTTTAAAATGCTATCTTAATTTCAAATGTATATATTTGGTAACCATCATTAATAACTTTTAAATATCATGGATTTTAAAAATGATACAAAGTTCACATTAATACAAATGAAATGCTGATCAGTTCTAGAGAGAACAGTTTATAAAGAAAGGATCACCTGATGTGGCTTGTCTGCTCGCTGAAAAAAATCACAGTAAATGTACCCCAACAATCCCTCAGATTCATGAACGACAGCCTAGAAAAAAAAATTTTAATTTGGTGGTAAATTAGGCCATCCGATTCTCTAAAATCCCTAGCACAAGAATCTGTATATTAGACATCCACAACCACACATATAGACATTTTAATTACATTCGACATCCCATATTGTCTCGAGATAGATTCTCTTTTCCCCACATCCTCTTCTGCTCCATCTCTTGAATGATTTTGGTTTTGGAATTCTGTGTCCAGGAGAGGAAATCCTCCTCATGAGGGCCTTCTGTCCTGACTGCCTGTCCTCTACAACACCTTTACTAACCACCACAAGAGTTGAGAAGAAGTGCTGGCTGGACAATTTTAGGAGCAAAAGTATTTTTCCTTCAAATCCTGGAATGTCATGACATATGCCCAAGCAAATTATAACCCTCGAATTTGAAAACACCACAATGCAGCTCCCAGCTTGAGTTAAAAATCAGCAATATCACTATCTATCCCCTCTCCAAGAGGCAGAGCTTATAGGAGAGACTCAACCGCTACTCTCCATCTTGCCTTCTTTGTTCTTTCAGAATTTAATGATTCCATCTAAGAGAACCCCGATTTTGTGCTTTAAATTACCTGCAAGTGTATATTCATTGTTCATCAAACATCTATTAAGCACCTACTTGGTGCCAGGAACTGTTCAAGACACTTGGGATACAGAAGTGAAAGCAACTGACAACAGGGCTGGACCCCGGTGGAGTGCACATTCTGCAGTTCTGAGGAAACCTCTTCATCACCCGCATCTTGTCCTCTCAGTCTCCTCTTATAAACTTTTCTTTTTATTATAGCTCAGCATTTTATCAATCTCTATCTTTTTCGGAAATTTGTAATACAGATATTGAAGTAAATCAATGCAGTGATGAACGTCCTCTCACCCTCACTCTCCTTTCAATCCCACCACCACACCTACTCTCCACTCATAAGACGTGGCCAAAAGACAATGAGAGTGTTTACATTTCTTAAAATATAGTGAAGAAAGCAGTGTGGTAAGCATGCTAGCAAAAATCAAACAACAAAACAATACAACGCCTTAGTGACAAACACAGGTCAACAAAGCCTCAAATCCTATGAGGAAAAATTTAAAATATTCATGCCTCAAATAAAGTGGGCCTTCACAGGACAAAGATGATTGCTAGGTTTGAAGTTATTATCAAAGAAATTAAATAAATCAGAACACAGGACGTAAATTAATATCTGATGCAAATATAAGCCCCTACAACATGGGATGGGGGCTGGAAAGAAAAAAGGTCACTCATGCAATGGATTTGGGAATTAACCAAAAGGGACACACAGCACTGAAGGTACATACAAAGTAATGGCCAATCTTCCTCTAACTAGAATTTGTGGATATATGAAGGTGTATATATATTCAACCTTCTATCAAGTTCCAAACAAGTTTTTTAGCAAACTCTGCTGTTTTATGTTTAGATCCTTTACACAGTGTCCTAAATCAAAAGTGCAATTTGGATTTTTTTTGTGAAGCAGAAATAAGGCAAGGGACACACTCACTCAGGGCAAAGTTAACGTAAACATGAAACTGCTGTTGACTCAACTCCCAAACCGAAAGGCTAACGCATGCAACTGCAGGCTGAGCGGGAGCTCACCAGTTTTCGGACATCTTCACTCCACACCTCTCCTTTTGCAGGCTGCTCTGCATATAATGAAATCCCCAATAGTCTGTTTAGCAAAATATTCAGGCCTTCCATGCATGCTCCAAGAGAGAAAAACGGGCAATATAGGCTGGGCTCAATATTATACCTAAGAGAAGGAAGAGAGGTTCAACAGCATCTTTGTTTATTTCAATTTCTGAAGGTAAATTCAATTAACTTTTCATTTACTACTTAAGATCACTGGAGCTAAAGGAGGATTCAAAACATAAAAGTGCATTTATATCATTTGAGGGGTTTTCAGACAGTGTTCTTCAGAATGACAGTCTGATTATTACTAGTGTTAGTCATAAGTCAGTAATTAAGGTAGACATATCACTCCCTAATCTTTGTCCCTTCCATTTTATTTACTCCTTTACTACGAACCCAATTAAGCACTGTCTCAACTGCTCACTGTATACATACTTATATGCAAGATATGACCAGTTTCAGTTATAATGGTAACTCTTACCTCATGAGTTATATTCTAGAAACTCATGACTTATATCACATAAATATTAAATGAATAAAAACCCTGAGGCACATTAAGTGAATTTAAAGTTCTCATCCAGTAAAATATTCATTTATGAAAAAAATGCCTGCAATATAAAGATTAAGATCTTAATTTATCTGTTTTATAGATATCTTAAGGACAACATAACTAGTAAGGTGAATTATTCTTCACCCAAAAATAACTTTTTCTGTTCTATATATTCCAACATAAACCAAAACAAATCCAAAATATGTGATTTGAATGTTTACATTTGAGTCATTAAGTCAAGCCAAAATATATAACCACAGCCAAAAATAATGGCTCTAGAATATTGTAGGTCTTCATTATACATCCACTTTTGGGGATTACCAAAATATACATTTTTTTTCAATTGGCTTTATTTGTGATTCTAGAACTGCACAACATTTTGTTCCATAAAATAAGAGTCCCTACAAATTTATATATAAAATATATACAAATACAGTTACTACTAAATGAATGAGTTTAGCAAGTGAACATAAATTGCACAACACATGAGACTTTGGGTATGGACATCCACAAATTTACACCTTAATTTCTGACTGATTTTTCATTAAACAGAATCCTCGTGTTGAAAGAGACATTCATGACCAGTGCCCTGGCTCCCTGGTTCGCTCACTCAAGCATGCCATCGGCAAACCTGCTGGAGGAGAGGAATCAAGAGCCTTTGTGTCTAAGCAGCTCGTGCTGAAGGAGGCAGAGAAGTGAACCAACTACACTGTGTCCTGGGCCTGGAGCAGTGGGCACACAGCCGGCACTCAGTAGGCAGTGCTGAAGGATGAGTGAATGAGCACTGCACAATGGCAGAGCAAAGGAGAGCGTGATGACTTGACTTGTGGAGTGCAGAGTAGCACCAGGGAAAGCTTCTTGGATAGGAATTAAGAAAGAATTGGCCGGGTGCTGTGGCTCACGCCTATAATCCCAGCACTTTGGGAGGCTGAGGTGGTAGATCACAAGGTCAGGAGTTCAAGACCAGTCTGGCCAATACGGTGAAACCCCATCTCTACTAAAAATACAAAAATTAGCCAGATGTGGTGGTGGCTGCCTGTAATCCCAGCTACTCGGGAGGCTGAGGCAGAGAATTGCTTGAACCCAGGAGGCAGAAGCTGCAGTGAGCTGAGATCGCGCCACTGCACTCCAGCCTGGGCGACAGAGTGAGATTCTCCATCTCAAAAAAACAAACAAACAGAATCAGACTTTGCCAGGCAGGGCTGGGATGAGGAATGGAAAATGGGAATCATAATAGGAATTCTGGGCGGAAGCGATGGTGTAACTAAAGTAGGACAGCATAAAATAGCCCGGTAACTTCTAAAAAGGATGTGGTTAAAGACGAAGCAGTTACCAACGCAGGGATAAATGGAGAAAGAATGGGAGCAGAGTCTGGAAAAGGCAGGCAGGGGTCAGAAAACAGAGCGCCTGGTCCACTAAGCTGAGGAACTGGGACCATGCACCACAGGCCACGGCCTCTAAGCTTCCTCAGCAATGCATACTAAAATAACTTTTGAGTATTCAACCTTCTATACGTACATTTATAAAGTATACTCATGTGGTATTGTTTTATCACACTGCAAAAAGGAGACTTTTTATAAGTTGAGATAAAGAAAAATAAACATACATAGAATTTCTAGTATTTTATGACTACACTCTCAATGAATTCCTTACAGATGCCATTTGGGAGACAGCTTCTGTAGGCCACAGTGGAGCATCTAATGTTTTCCGGAATGCTGCGCAGTGGACAGCATGGAGGGTGGAATGCAGGAGGCAGGGAGGGCTGACAGGAGGACTGACTTCCCGGCTTCAGAGGGTGAACTCTGACGGAGGGCAGTGGGGTCAGGGATGAATGTACTTTTCCTTTGAAATGCAAACATCTCAGGACTGTGTGAGTGACTGGATTTGGAGGGTGATGAGAAAGACAGAACAATCTAGAATAACACTCAGGTTTCTGCTTTGGACAAATAAGTGGGATGGTAGAGTCACTGAATCTGCCAGCGCAATGAACACAAAAAAAGGAAGAGGGGAATCTGGGTGTGTTTGTCGGAGAAGAGAGGAGGGTGAGGTGTAATGATGGGAGGAGGACGGAGGGCTCACAGGAAATAGACTCCGTTTTGGAGACACCAACTGTGAAGTGCCCATGAGATGCCAGACACTCAGGACTCAGAGCTAAGGAGAACAAGGAGACTTCACTGTCTGGATGTTAGAGCTATAGAGGGAGGCAGGGCCATAAGGGAAGGGCGATGCAGGCTGAGAAGAGGGAAAAGGGTAGACCCCTGAACTATCAGAGGGAGGACTGGGAAGGAAGACAGAGAACAGTTCAGAGCTACTGAAGAACTAAGAGAAAGGAGTACCACGGAAAGAGGGGAGAAAATAAATTATGAAAGCGGTCCAGGCTTGAGGTTTCCACTCCTGCACATGAGAAGGTTGAAAGTCACCACTCCATCCTAACAAGCAGGAAGCTGAACAAACTGAAAATCAAGAATCTTCTTAGATTCAGCAGAGAATCAAGGCCACAGAGCAAACTGCTGCCCCCAAAACTGGAAAGACAGGCAGGTAGACATAGAGAATCGCATCACCACTTCACAGAGCAGACACCTCCCACAGAACCGACTACAAGGCAAGGACGTCTAAACTGTAATTGGTTATAGAAAGCAATTCACTTTTTTGTTGCCAGATAATAAAAACCAACCCAAATACAAAGGGGAATGAAAAGAAACTTTACATATTAAAATTATACCCTTAAGATTATAATGAACATATGACATTTATTTTTATGGAAAAGAAACACAGTAAAGCTAATAGCACAGCTTAGTTTACTAAACTATAACCTAAAAATATTTACTGACTTATCCAATGACCATGACACTTATATGTGTCAGGCAAAATTCAAGGAAACAATTTATCTTGGAAAACTTAAGTATAGAATATAAGTTTATATAATATTACACTAAAATGATTGGGAACAAATGAATTTCTAAACTCCCTGTTTTAAAATAAAAACACCTCGGTGGGATTGTAAACTAGTTCAACCATTATGGAAAACAGTATGGCGATTCCTCAAGGATCTAGAACTAGAAGTACCATATGACCCAGCCATCCCATTACTGGGTATATACCTAAAGGATTATAAATCATGCTGCTATAAAGACACATGCACACGTATGTTTATTGCGGCACTATTCACAATAGCAAAGACTTGGAATCAACCCAAATGTCCATCAGTGACAGACTGGATTAAGAAAATGTGGCACATATACACCATGGAATACTATGCAGCCATAAAAAAGGATGAGTTTGTGTCCTTTGTAGGGACATGGATGCAGCTGGAAACCATCATTCTCAGCAAACTATCGCAAGAACAGAAAACCAAACACCGCATGTTCTCACTCATAGGTGGGAACTGAACAATGAGATCACTTGGACTCGGGAAGGGGAACATCACACACCGGGGCCTATCACGGGGAGGGGGGGAGGGGAGGGATTGCATTGGGAGTTATGCCTGATGTAAATGACGAGTTGATGGGTGCTGACGAGTTGATGGGTGCAGCACACCAACATGGCACAAGTATACCTATGTAACAAACCTGCACGTTGTGCACATGTACCCTAGAACTTAAAGTATAATAAAAAAGAAAAAAAAAAGAATAAAAAAATAAAAAATAACAATAAAAAAATAAAATAAAATAAAAACACCTCAAAAATAATAACAATGGGCAAAAAGTATACTGTCTTGCCCCCTGGCTCACTATGCCCACCCCGAGAGGTAAGGATCTTGTGTATCCTTCCAGGCATTCTCTATGCACACTCTTAGAAGTTTCTGCATGTAAACTTTATGGATCTATAAACCTACTTTGGCACAAACAGAATCATACCATTCACACCATCTCACAATTTCATTTAACATAAAACTGTATCAATGATATGTATTTTTTACACATAGATTTTTCATAAAAATAGAACTTGGAATACTTTCCAGTTTAGTATGTAAAGCTCTATCCTGTTTTCTTTCATGGGTGTAGTCATCCACAGCAAACACACGACAAAGCTTATTTCATGCATCTCCTGCTGTGTTGTACGTGAGCAGAGAGGAGGCAAGGCCAGTGACAGCCTGAAGCATCACTGGGGGAAGTATCTGACCACGGACATCGTTTGGAGTTTCTCACACATGGGGATATTAAAGGATCCCAGACTTTTCATCAGTTTTATTATTGACTTTAATTTCTTTACAGAAAATGCATGCCATTAGGCCACACCCAGAGCTCACTTCCCTGCCTTGGTCTGCCTCTGTTCCTCTTCACTGACGGTAAGCTGCTGTTCGTTTACCTGTTAAAATGATGCCATAGTGAAATGTCCTTGTCGCACCCACACAAGCCTGTCCATAAGATAAATTGAAGAAATGACATTGCTGCAAAGAGTATGAGATCTTAAATTTTTTGATAGGTATTTCCAAATTATCCTCAAAAAAAAAAAAGCTGTTCTAACTTACATTCCTACCTACAGTGTATGAAAATACCTAGTGCCCTCACTCTTGCCAATGTAATTCTGATATGTTTCTTTTAATGCTTCCTTTATTTTCCTTCTTTGGG